GGACACTGTCCCTGAGCTCTTCAGCTCAAGGCAAGTGCTCTACCACTTGAGCCACAGCGCCACTTTGGTTTTCTGGTGGTTAATTGGAGATGAGAGTCTCACAGACCTTCCTGCCGGGGCTGATTTTGAACCGCAATCCTTAGATCTTAGTCTCCTGAGTAGTTAGGATTATAGGTGTGAGCCCCCAGCACCAGCTACATTTCTTTTTCTTTGTTGTTGCCATCATCTTTTCTTCATCGTCATCATCGTCGTCTTTTTTTTTTGGTCAGTTGTGGGGCTTGAACTCTGAGTCTGAGAGCTGTCCCTCAGCTCTTCAGCTCAAGGTGAGCATTCTACCACTTCAGTGCCACTTCTGATTTTCTGGTGGTTAATTGGAGATAAGAGTCTCACAGACTTTCCTCCCCAGGCTGCCTTTGAACTGTGATCCTCAGACCTCAGCCTCCTGAGTAGCTGGGATTACAGGTGTGAGCCACCGGTGCCCAGCCAAGCTACATTTCTTCTTAGGTCATACATATTAACCTATGTTCCAGTTCCCTGATGCTATTGTTTTGTATTTATTTTGTGATTTTATTTTGCATTTATTCAATGACTAAAACTATCGAGCCTCTCAATTATTTGCCATCTGTATACACTGAGGAATCTGTTCAACCATTTTGCATATATTAAAAATTATTTATTTGATTAAATGGCAGGATTCTATTATGGCTTCATGTACCTATGACTCTTGCTCCTCTGGAGGATGAGGCAGAAAAATAGTTTAAGACTACTTGTGTAGGACCAGTCTAGGCAACATAGATACTACCTCTTTAAAAGTTATAGGAGGGCTGGGAACGTGGCTTAGTGGTAGAGTGCTTTCCTAGCATGCATGAAGCCCTGGGTTTGATTCCTCTGTACCACATAAACAGAAAAGGCTGGATGTGATACATGGCTCAAATGGTAGAATGCTAACCTTGAGCAAAAGAAGCTCAGAGATGTGCTCAGGCCTTGATTTCAAGTCCCAGACTGGCAAAATAAAAATAAGAGATGAAGATAAATCAAATATTACTACTGGGTTTTTAGTTTGACCTCTGCAAATGTTATTGTTACTGTAGGTGGTAGAAGAGTAGTGGATGACCATGTTAGGCCAAAAAAATCTGAATTATACTTATTGTTACCTTAAGTTTGGGAGGCTTATTAAGACTTATAAATACAAATAAATACTGAATATGAATCTAGAGCTCAGGAGTTAGGTTATGATTAGGCATATACTTTATGACTTACTAGTACATAAGAGTATATATAATTACATGAGAAACTGCCTAGAGACAAAGAATTTAACCAGATTCCTATTTATATACTTGCTTACAAATTTGTTTATTCTAAGAAAGTTGAAGCACTTGTATTGATCCTACATATATTCCATGGGTTCTCCAAAAGTCTTGCAGGGTAGTATCTTTCATCAGTCAATAAATTAAGGAAAAGTTGCTACACATGTGGTTGATCTGCTTGAGAAAGTAGTAATTTTGTTTACAATGTAGCAGGAGAGTCAAGAAGTTTGAGAGTCAAGAGTCTGATTCAATATATACGTAAAGCTTTGTCATTGTTGACTTTTTAAAGGATTGAGAATATTAATAAGTTAACCTACTAAAGACACTTTTTTGGTTTACTGCCTGTGTAAAAGTGACTACTAGAATTAATTTTTCTACTGTGAAAACTAAGATGGAATCTTGGTGGGTATTAATGTTAAAGGAAGCTAGTAATCTCATTTTAATGGATATAGACATTTTCACTGAAATGCTCAACAATGAGTACATCAAAAACCATACTTTATTTATGTATAGCAATACAATTTACATATTAAATAACACTATAATAGAATGATTTGATATAGTTTTAAACAAAGAAAAAAGGAAAAAATTTCAGGTTACAAAACCCCTCCCCCAGAACAAATTAAAAAAAAAATCACTTCTTCCAAATGGATCAATGCAACAAATGAATTCAGTGACTAATCATGTCTAGTTCCTATTGCACAAATGGTCAATGTGATTTAAAGAAAGTCCAACTTTCACAATCACTGCCTCAAAGAAAGAACATGTTGGATTCTTTTGGAATGCAAAGATGGTTCTTGCTACTTCAATACACAGAACGTTGAATTCACATATCCACCACGAAAAGAAAAGAAAAGAAAAGAAAAACTATGACGGAATTGAAACTAGAAAAAAATTAGCTTTATATGAAAATATAAAATTCTATGATTATATACCATAGATACAAAGTTCCCAGAAGATGTTTACCCAAGCAACAAAATATTTACAGTTTTAATGATTTCAGCTATTTCAAAATGAAGTGAAAGAAACAGGAGTCAACATGAAGGCTGAATTCTTTAGAAATAATGGCTGCTTGCAAGTTTCAAATGTCTTAACAAAAAAGGAGTCATTACCCCAAATGTTGGAGAGTTGCGACGTTTTACAAAATTGACTTTTCTCCTTTTCTGGAGATGTTTTTCTTAAAACTCAAGATATTTTTTTCTTGAAATTATCTTCTGTAGAAAATGCTTCCCCTTGCAAATAGTTAACAAAAATACTAAAAACAGTTTTATCAGCTAAGACAAAGTAGAGGCCAAATATCATTATTACAATTCTTTCCTATTTTTAGCATGCCTTCTTTCTAGAGATAAGTAAAGCCAATATTGTATGTTAGATGGAACTAAGTGAAATTACAGCTGCTAACAACAGAAAAAAGCAGGCATTTTTTTTCCCTTCATATAAAAATTCACTGGCACCATTTGAACAGAAATTTTAGAACATAGAAATTAAAAATGCATTTTCCAGTATAACTGCTAACTTCTTAAGACCACTATGCTTTGTTTTCTCTTAAATTACGATTAATTTGGGTTTACTTTTTGCTTAGAATTAGTAATATGTGTCTTTGGTAAATTGGTATCTATATTTTAATTTTAAATATATATGCATTTAAGAAAAAGTCATAACAAGGCAGTTGTGCTGTGTCATTACAAAATAATTAGGTTATTTATTGACTTCAGTATCACTCTGGACTACAAATTCCAACAGCTAGAACTTGAATACCCAAACTCTTCTCTGACCTTGCTGGACTCTTCTATTCCAAATGGGAGTCTTAAAACGGCAAGGCATAAAATTAGGAAAATTAACTAATTCTATTATTTAAAGCCATAACTTCTTTTAAATGAGGAAGATGGTAGTACAGCTATCAGGTGTGAGAAAGTTCTGATTGCATAAGATGTCTTTGATGTCCAGCACTAGTTGGTCTGATCAGAGCAGTTTGGTTTTATATGATCTGCACATTCTCATTCCTTAGAGCAGTTTGGTTTTATATGATCTGCACATTCTCATTCCTTAGAGCTAAACCCCCAAACAGCTTTATTTTTATAAAGTAGTACACATTAACTTGGAATAGCTATTTACTTTCCCCTTGAGTGCAAGTAGTAATAACATTGTTAACTACGGAAGCAATGTGCTATGTCTCAAAATGCCATTTTTGGAAGTCTCTGCCTCTGGAGAGATGCAAGCGTACTTTTGCTAATGATGGATAGTAATAGTAATGATGCACATTGTGGTGAAAGTTGGAAGTATGCTCAGTGAGGGGTTTGGACCACTTTGGTAAGATGGGCAAATAGCCGTTGTTCACAGTTCAGTGGGTCAGGATCTGTACAGTTTGGTTCAAGCCTGCTGTAGATAAACAGACTGCTTACATAGAACTTTGAAACCATCTTTATAAAGTTTCTATCCGATTGACTTGCTCTTTCTTTTTCCCTTTCATCAGCATTCTGTTACTCGTGTAACAGCAAGACAGTCACAGAATGAGGGTATTCATTTCCACAGATTGAACCTTCTGTAAATAGCGCAGAAGGGAATACTTGTTGTTTTCTAAGCAATGTCCTTTGATTCAGAAAAAACCATGCACTCAAATGTTACATTTGAATGATAAAGCCACTGTGCCATCTACTAACAAGCATTAGTTCATATCAATAGTCTGCACAACTAAAGTGACTCACTTAAACGGCTGAGAAACTTTCAGCTTTCTACCAAACCTGAAACTTTTCTCTTCCTGATTCCCCTCAGCCTTCCAGCAGTTGTAAATGTTCCAACGGCAAGCCATCATGTCTGGTGGGAGCTGAGAAGTGGTAAAGGTGTCTGTGCCATCTATCAACATACATTTAGCCCATTTTGTTCACTTGAACACTTTTTCCAAAGACTAGTATACAGTTTTGTAGAAGCAAATAGTCTGTGCTATTGAATATTGTGTGATGAAAAGCTGAGATTAACCTTGATAAAATTACATAGCTCATGAGAACTCTATTGATCTGACCCCTGCATTGGAATGTTTGAACTTGGCCTGTAGACCCTCTCTCCATAGAAACTGGTCTTCTAGCACGACTCAAGCAACTCAAGATAACAGAACCTCAGTGCTCATCATAATTTTGTCATTCATGCTGTCATGCCTACCCAGAAAATAGAGTAGTCATGGTGGCCTTTTGGTTCAAGTTTTATTGGCATAAAATAACACGAAAGCCTGCTTTTCATAGGCCCAATTCTGGTTATGATTTCAAGTCTGACAGAAATTGACTCTGAAAAGGACACATGAAACTGAAGGAAGAGATCTCAGTAAGTGCTTATTTTTCTAACTCTACTGATATTTCTTTAAAAAAAAGTCTCCCAATTTTTCCAATAGTATTGTGAATATAACTTTAGAGGCTCTACTGATTATAGTTTATCAGTTTCTTTGATGCTAATGATTATCTGTTTCCTTGAGGCTAAACTACACAAAAGCATTCAAAGCCACCTCCTTCTCTTAAAAATCCACTTGGAAATGTAGACATCACCTTTTATTTAAGATTCCATTTATCTTTTTTTCCAATAAGAGTTAATCATGTGTGAGAGTTTAGACAGTCCCCAAACTTTTGCTAATACAGTATTTTCAATTTAATCTTAAGTGGAAGAATGCGAGAGATTTATGAAACATTTGGCCGAAAGAAAAGAATGTTAATTCTACAGGTAGTTTTTATTAGATGGCTATATGTAGTGGAACATTTTTAGAGTACTAGTTTCAGAATTGTACATTTGCAAAAATTTTTATTCTACCTATCATAAGGGAAGGTATTATCAACAAAAATGCATTAGTGAGGATTATTTAGAGGATCTATAGTTGTGTAAAAGATTGCCACCTTTCTACTGTAAATGATAGCCCTGATTTTAGGGGCTAGCTGTTTCAGAGAGTCAAGTGGAAATAACACACACTGTCCACATAGCTACTGTGAAAGCTGTAATACAGTTATCCTTTATTTTGACACATTTTTTAAGCTGTGAATATAACTTCATAACTAATCAGAGATGTTCACATGAAGCAACTCTTAAACCTCCTAATTTCTTACTGGATTTCTTAGCCATCATAAACGGAACTGTTTCAAGGCTACAATGTTAATAGACCTTAGTAGCTCCTGATAGCCAGCTATTTTGTAAAAGAAAACATGATCCATCCACTCCATTAAAATACAGAAGGCATACAGTATTGAACAGTGCCTAAAAAATAGGAGGGGAGGACTGAAGAAAAGTACAGCATTGCCTGCTAGTAGAATGCAACTGCTTTAGCAATAATAATGAAAACCAAGATTCACTGTCATTACAAAGACCTTCACTGTACTGAACTAAAAAGTAGCACATACGCTGTCATGGAATGTCACATCAGGGTTTGCTTTAGTATTAGATTATAGGCAGTAACACTGATCATATAGTGCAAACTAGGTAAAATTGCGTTTCACTGTGTGAAATGAACAGAGGTGCAAATGCTCAGTAGGATACCATTAAGACATAAAATGGCAAAAAATAAATATCAAAACTTTTATCAGTGTAAAAAAGTAACTGGGTTATTGTATAACCTAGAGTCTGGCAAAAAAGGCCTCAAAAAAGTTCTCAGTCTTCAGAAGTTTACAAATTAAGTGCCCTTTCCGGAATCCAGTCACACTAGAGACTCCATGCTCTCGGCAGGGTCTGATTCATCTGCAATGAGCACAGCACCATTTTTGTCTGCTGTCATGGGACCATTTCCATTTTCTTTAGTGCTGACCAAGCTGAGCATTGCTTTATAGACAAACTGGTATTGTTCCTGAAAAAAAGCAAGAGGAAAACTGAGTGAGCCAAGGAACAACTTAGTCATTCCATCTCAGATGGAATTACCAACTAAAAATGTAATTTTGAATTAACGTTGTAGAGAAACAGGAATAGCAAAAATGTTATCTAATTAATGTGATCACTTGAATTTGTTCACAGTAAGGTGTACACCTTCCTATCCTTCTTACGTCTGTTAGTATGCAGCCAGTTCTCAATATTGATAGTTCACTAAGTAATGGAGCATTCATACCTTATAACTAGAGAATTCTCCAAAGCAGGGTTTCTCCACTGAGGTACTACTGACCTTTCAGACTAGATAATTCTGTGTGGTCAAAGTTGTTTTGTACATGTTAGGATGTTTACCATTCCTGGCCTCTATGCCCTAAATGCCAGAGCATCTCTCTTCATATGCAGTTTTGACAACAAAGCATCAGCTGATGTATAATCTCATCAGACTACTTACAATGTCTGTGAATACTCCAGGTCTCATAAGATTGATCATTTTTGCCACCTGGAAAACATCCACAGCATTTTCATTCTCCAGCTGCTGGGACAGGGTGGTAAGGGCACACAACATTCCTGCTGAAACTGCTCCATACCTGAGGAGGGAGAAAGACACCATGTCAGAATCTCTCAGGGAACGAGTGTACTGGATGAAATTACCATATCATGTTTTCTTTGCTAGTAAAATACATATTGACATTTGTATGCATTGAAAAAACTAAATATTGGACGGAGAGAGGGGTGGTACATAAGGGTAACATTGGTTTATCTACTTCATTAGAAGTTTAGCCTGAAAGGAAAGGATCAAGGTAGACTTGGGATGTGCTACTGGGAGAAGAGTTAAGAAAAAGCAATAGGAGAACCTTAACTATATAGTCTTTTGATTAAGTAGCAGCTGGTAAAGGGCTCTGAAATATTTTCACCTCAAACCGCCAAGAATTTACTTGTGTAAAGAATAAACAATGGAATTACAACTACTAACTGCCTTTCTGAGATGCATAGGATTAAAGTGGTGCTTATGAAGTTAAGATTGGATAGTGATGTCATAATCATCATAAGATGTGCTTAGCATAACACATGTATTTATGATGATCTTGGTGTAATCAGATCTACTGTGCTTCCAGTCATACACAACTACAACATATACATTTATATACATAGATTTTGGATTTATGATCTGCATCATGTAAGTTTGTGTAACTGCAGTATGCTGTTTGCACAATAATGAAATCATCTAACGGTACAATGCTTTTATTTTTAATGTTAAAATTATCATACCCTAATTGTACAAATACCCTAATTTCTAAGAGCTCATCCTTCCATTAAATGTCATATGACAGTATGTGGATCAAAATTAAGTCAGAGAAGTTTCAAAGGCAGTTTCATATTTTTGGCTATGAAGTAGAGTAAGTCTCATCTTGTGAGTGCAATCTGTGAGTGTAATCTATAAGATTCTCAGAAAAGAGCATTTCTCTTTGTTTCACACACACACAGATTAGAAAAGTAGACAGGTTGGCAACTCCAGTTCCACAGGAACCTGTGCCAGGACATAGTTTCCATAGAATGACAGAAACAATGGATGAAATGAGTTGTTGAAGGTGATGCTGCTGTTTGGAAGTAAGACTAGTGCTACATTCCCTTAGAAAGTTCTGATGATGGAGCTTTTCAATTCAATCTGAGTTGAATGAGACCAATGACCCCTTTAACTCAGTACCCACTTTAGAGGTAACCTCTTCAGATGCAAAAATTATTATGCAATTAGATACACATTTCAAGATTTAGGTTTATCAGTGTATTTCAACACATTAATCCCTTCAACTTGTGGCACATGTATCAGATTTGCTTTAGAAGAACATATCTTTTAATTGTATGTCAAGAGGAGATCTATCTAGTCACAGGTTATATACGTTTTCTGTTTTAAAGAGACTGCCACATTTCTCACTCTTGTGGTGGTTACAATTCATATTACTCCCAGGATAAAAGTGCTTGTTTCTCCTCATCATTAAAATTTTAAGTTTTGTCAATTTGATGGGTTAAAAAAAACCTGTATTTTACTGTTAATTATTTCCTTGATTACCAAGAAGGAAGAACATTTATTTGACCTCTGTATCTCATCTTCCAAAAATGCATAATTAATTATAGATAGTATACCTAGCTATCAGGTTTATTTCTTTCAACTTAGTTTTCTAGGAATCAGTTTTTGGGCCATTTTAATGGAATATAGTGTTTACATGTAATCAAATTTATTAGCCCACAAATGAAGGGATGAACTGTGTTGAAATATACCGATAAACCTAAATCTTTTTATTTTTAGCTTTTTTTTTTAGGGGAAGGAGGATCTTGTTTCTTTTCTTTGCCAGGCCTGGGCTCTGTCCCTGAGCCTCTCTGTGCTCAAGGCTAGTGTTCTACCACTTGAGCCACAGTGCCACTTCCAGCCCTTTCTGTTTATGTGGTCCTAAGGAATCTAACCCAGGGCCTTCATGAATGCTAGGCAAGCACTCTACCACTAAACCATATTCCCAGCCTGAGAATGCTTTTCAGAGCTTAGTTTTCTGTTTTTTTTTTTTTGTTGTTGTTGGTTGCGGGGCTTGAACTCTGGGCCTGGGCACTATCCCTGTGCTCTTCAGCTCAAGGCGAGTGCTCTACTGCCTGCGAGTGCTCCACTTCTGGTTTTCTGGTGGTTAATTGGAGATAAGAGTCTAGCAGACTTTCCTGCCCAGGCTGGTTCTGAACCGTGATCCTCAGATCTCAGCCTCCTCAGTAGCTAGGATTACAGGCATGAGCCACTGGTGCCTGACCATAGCTTAGTATTTTAAAGATATTCTCTTCTAGCAGATAGTTGAATATCTCAGGATTTATAATCTTGATATCTTATAAAGTCAATTTTCTGTTATAGTCTTGGTTTCTATATGTATTTCATATAATTTTTGCTTTCAAACATATTATGAATTTGCTCTAGTTTTATGATGCAAATGGAACCCTAAATGAGTGTTCCACACAGGTGGGCTTCCTGGAGGAGGTAAGCTGACTGTGGACTGTTGTCCCAATTGACAGGCAAGTTTGAAGACAAGAAAACAGGCTTAGCTGAATTAGTGAGGACATCACAGCAGAGAAAGAAGGAACTAGGAGAGGGTGTTCCATGTCTCCCGAATATTCATCTTCAGAATATAAATCTTTAACCCTCATGCATGCTAAGCATGTGTTCTACCACTGAGCTATACCCAAATTGCATGTGTTATATGATGATTTTAAAACAGAATTGTCAGGGGCTGAAACAAAAAACAACAAAACACGCCAAACTTGTCAGGATTTTATTAGGTCACATTAATATGTACATGAATTTTTCTGTTCACAAGCATGATGTCTTTGTACTTTTCTCCATAGTCTTTTTTTTTTTTTGGCAGTCATGGGGCTTGAACTCTGGGCCTAAACGCTGTTCCTCAGCTCTTCAGCTCAAGGCTAGCGTCCTACCACTTCAGCCACAGTGCCACTTCTGGTTTTCTGGTGGTTTATTGGAGATAAGAGTATCAGGGACTTTCCTGCCTGGGCTGGCTTTGAACTGCAATCTGAGGATCTCGGCCCTTGAGTAGCTAGGATTCAGGAGTGAGCCACTGGTGCCTGGCTTCCATAGTCTTTGCCAATCATACTTGAGATTAATTTCTAGGTGCTCTAGAAAGACCTATCTGTGGTCTTAGTTGATGCAAAGGAAAATTACTTGACAGGGTGAATGTGTATACATGTTATACAGAAAAACTCTTCAGTTGTAATAATATGTGGATTGTTTTGGGTGGTTGGCCAAATCTTTATCTGCCAGTGTTCCTTTCCCCATTTACCTTTTCTTCCTACATTTTTGGTTTTCTTTTTTTTTCTTCTGGTACTTGGGTTTGAACTCAGGGCCTCTCACTTGCTCAGCTGTTGCAGTATCACTGAGTCACATCTCTAGCTTGAGTTTTTGCTGATTAAATAGAGAAGAGGTCTTTTGGTCTTTGTTTCCTGGCATGTCTCAAACTGTGATCCTGTCAGTTTCAGTCTCCTGAGTAACTAGAATTATAGGCCTGAGCCACTGGTACCCATCACAACTGTATTGGCTGCCTTGATCATACCCTAATTGGCTTATGTACCAGCTTATGTCTATTGATTTATCTTTTGAAATCCCTTTAAAATCTTAATACATTTTTGGCAGCATTCAACCAGCTGTATATTGCCAAGATAAATTTTTCTAATGTACTGTGATTTATTAGAATTTTATTTACGTTTTTGCATCTATATCCAACCATGTATTACTGGACTGTAGTTTCTCATTATGCTGCTAGCCTTGTCTGTTTAAATCAGGTTTGCACCAAGTCTTCCTTCTGTATATTACCACCTGAATGTCCCTCCATGAGGGCTTGGTGGCCCCTAATAGTGAAGAATTATTATTTTAGTCAGTGTTTAAATAATCTCTAATGTGCATGTGCTCTTCATGCTATGTTCCATGTACTTAACATACACAGACGTATATCCACCTGAGGCTGAAGAACAAGGCACATTCGAGATGAACTGGTCAGCTTCTCATGGACTATAGCATAAAATTTAGCTGACATATAAAGACAGCTCAGAACAGAGACTTCTACACAGCCTGTGTTCAACATTCTATTATGCTCTTTATGCTCAAAGTTTTCCTGTAGAGCTACTAATGAACAGTCTCAAATGCTTGTTTTGTTTCCTGTAAAAGTTGAATACTACTTAGCTTTTCATTACAGAAAATGTTAAACACACACAAGTCTAGTAACCTTTATATAGTAACCTTTATGTAGCCACCATCATTTAGATGCCTAGAAGAAAACCAGGTATTTTACGCATAATTATTTTAGAACTACAAGATAAGGACTTAAAAGAATAAACACCAGAACAAACAAACAATTCTCAGATACTTTTTTCTGTTGTTGTTGTTGGTTGTGGGGCTTGAACTCTGGGGCTGGACACTGTCCCTCAGCTCTTCAGCTTAAGGCTAGTGCTCTGCCATTTGAGCCACAGTGCCACTTCTGGTTTTCTGAGTGGTTTATTGGAGTCATGGACTTTCTTGCCCTGGCTGGCTTTGAACTGTGATCCTCAGATCTCAGCCTCCTGAGTAGCTAGGATTACAGGTGTGAGCCACTGGTGCTGGGCCCTGGGCTCTTTTTGCTTAAGGGTAGCACTCTACCATTTTGAGCCACAGCTCTACTTCCTAGGTTATTTTTCTTTCTTTATTTGTGCCTTCTTTTATTGTTTTCTTCATCATATTTTCTTTTTTTTTTTTTTTTTGGGTCCGGTCATGGGGCCTGAACTCTGGGCCTGGGTGCTGTCCCTCAGCTCTTTAGCTCAAGGCTAGTGCTCTACCACTTGAACCACAGTGCCACTTCCGGCTTTTTTCTTTTTGCTTATGTGTTGCTGAGGAATCGAACCCAGGGCCTCAGGCATGCAAGGCAAGCGCTCTACCACTGAGCCACCTTCCCAGCCCCTTCTTCATCATATTTTCCAAAAGTGTATCTTTTATTAATGTTGCTATTTCCTTAGTCCCATTTCATAATTATTTCTCTGGCATCTTGAGCTTGATTACCTTAAAACTGATGTAGTC